TTCTTGTCGATTGCAACGGTCATGTTTTCTATCTCCAGTCTTGTCAAACCAAACACATTAAAACTGAAACTTGCTGCTTCAGAAAGCTACATAATAATAGTCTTATCTGTAAATTAGCTGTTTGTGGTAGTCCTGAATCTGCATGATATATTTGCCACTGGACGTCTATTTCGAGAAATTTTTTGTTTGGAACAAACAATTTAACATTGAAATAGACATAAGCATCGCTAACATAATATTGTATTATCATATAATCACATTAGAATAGAGAAACGGGGAATGTGTCACAGAGACAACAACCCGACCAAATAGCAGAAAACAGCCTAGTTCTAAGTGTCTTACGATTCTGTAATTTTGATTGGCCGAGGCATTCCAAAATTTATATTTTATTTCCGTATAAAATGTAATATCTTTCACTGCACTTGCTCTCTTTGTTAAATCAAACACATAGAAAAAACAAACGAAAAGCTTGTTTAACTCGTTATTTCATGGTTGTATTGCATCTTAATGTAATTATAAGAACTGAAGCGCGCTTCGTACAAAATGTGCTTCGGTAAAAAGTAAAATAACAAAAATACCGCACTCCAAGGAAAATTCAAAACGGAAAGTCCCTTATCAAGTGGCAAAATCAAAAGCTCAAAAACATCAAACGAATGGAAAACAACTGTCATATTCCTGACTTCGTACAAGCATTTCATTATGTAGAAAATGGTGGATTAACCCTGGTTTTATAGCTAGCTAAACCTCTCACTTGTATGACAGTCGCATAAAATTCCATTATATTAAATGGATTTACAAAACGAAGTATTCAATAACATTAACGGTATCAATTTTTCTGCACCAGATTTCGACAATAAATGTCTTCAGTGATGCTCGAGGCCAAAATCTTTCAAATCCAAAACTTATTGAAAAAATGAAGAGCTTATAATCCAAAAAGTATAGCCGAAGACGGGCAAGGAATCAGAGCTTTGCATTTGGGAGATTTATTTCTTAATCCAAAATGATTTCCAAAATTGTTTAATATAGATACCTAATTATTACTACCACTGAATCGATACCTCTGCTGGTGGACTGTTAGTCCCCGAGGGTATTACAAGCCCAATAGCCAGTACTTTGGTACTGGCATGAAAATACGGATATTGTTTTGATTGAAATTTACTGTTATAAAATTTTGGAAATCATTTTATATTCAGGAATATATCTCCCTTATACAAAGCTCTGATTCCTTGTCCGGTTGTTTTGGCTAGTATATCTGGTGCAGAAAAATTAGTACCGTTTATATTATTATGTAATCGAAACAGTCTTTAATTTTTGAATTATTTCCGTAAATTAGATTTCTTTAATCATTAGTTCGAAGCATTATCTTTAACATTTGTTACAAGAGGCCTCGGTAAACAACTTCAGTTTGTAATTCACTCGTCGGAAATATGAAAATAAGCAACTTAAGGGGTTCCAATCAAAAGATCAAGTAGATAACATTCAAATCAGGTGTACAATTTGTGTGACAGATTGTGTTTTGTATTGTTTTTCTTAATTTTATTTAAATTTTGTTTATTTTTCTTCAAGATGATTGGACTAGTTTTAAATTCTCTTTGTAAAGATGTTTGTCAAACCCATTTTACATGTTTGTGCCATTTTAAACGTTTTGTAAATGATGCGTAGCAAGGGAGATAACTAGAGTTACATACGTTATTTCCATGGACAGTGTTTTCATATATTACAACGTTACTATGCATGGTTAATTCTTAGTCGATGGATTTACAACTATTCTGGATTCAATATCTAAACTCGACTTTTTGTTAAATTTCTGACTTAAAAAATGATCGTTCTGAATATGCATGAAATATTTGTCACTGGAGTATGCGACATTTTACTGGTAGGCAAGCAACATGAGCAATCAATTAAAATAGTCTTTTATAAACGTGATGGTATTAGACAGTAATCTCTACACCAATTGTGCATGCTGTTCATTTCTTATTCAATTGCTTGTACTTTCTTGATACAGTATGATAACTGTAATATACTACTGAAGTCTACGCAGAATACAAGCTTGTTACATAAACAATAGACGTACATTGTCTAAAAAAATGAAATTCATTTGTACGATATGAAGTAACGGGATGAAAAGCGAAACTTGCCGAGATTTACAGAAATGATAAGTTAGTGTATATTTTCTAAATTTAAGGGTTTACAGTGTCAAAATTAGTGTTCTTCTTTTTAACTCAATCGCCAGGAAATTTTGAAAGACAGAATGCAATTGAATACCAAAGATTCATATAAGATAAGACGACTTCATTGTTCTCGTAAAATCTAAGACCGCAAAAACATGTCGCTAGTGAGTTGCGACACATACACATCGTATGGTCAACCAATTCGTGTTAGTAATTTTAAAACTAATACTAAAAAAGAAAATTTAAAGATATATTCAAATATTGAATATTAATAACGGTCTATGGGTTCTAACACATTTACTACACTATATTATTTACAAATGTAACAATAATGATAGATTTCAGTTGGTAAACAAATATACTCCATCTGTATTTCTGGGGCGATGAATCAACATTTTGTTTATTTTTTCACCGTACAGTTATTGGTCATTCAAAAGTGTTTCACGCCTCAAAAACTATGCTATATATTTCATATAAACACATATTTTATTAAAATTGTCTTTTTATTAAAATTGTCAAAAACTTATTGATGGTCCGACTTAAATGAAATTTTTACTGTTAACTTATAAACGTTTCGGCATTTTTTTTATCGTTACGATGAAATATTTTATGTGACTTGTTAATACTGAAAAATCATTTTTTTAGTACTAATATTAAAAGTTGTTCCCCCAGTAAACTCTATATCTGTATATATTTATATATATATAACAAGTCTAAAAGGATACAACATCACCAAAAAATAATAATAAAATGAACAAATGTTAAATATTTCGGATAACAGATATCCTTCATCAGTATGATCACGATGTAAAATGAATCATATCAATCTAGTCTGATTATAAAACTATAACAATCTTGAAATTTATACAATAAAACAGTCAAAACTGAACATCATAGAGACGCTTGTACAGTTCTAAATTTTTTTAACATGACGTAGGTTATGTAGCTATTTACAACAGAGACTGCAAAGATATGCTTCAAATAAAAATAGTAATGTGCGATATGAACTGGTACAACTCTAAAATTTCAAAGGTGATCCGTGCCAATTGGCAAATTATTGCCAAGCACCCCAAATTATCCAAGATCTTTCCCAAACCTCCTGTTTTAGCTTTTCGGAGACAAGCAAGTCTGAAAGACTTATTTGTGAGAGCTGACGTTTCCTCTAATAAAAGCGGTTCAACTGCAGGATGGTGCAAGTCGTGTGGTAACAGACGATGTCTGACTTGCCAACAAATACTGAATACTCAAACATTTACTTGCCACTCCACTGGGTCTGTGTACACTATATTTTGCAATGTAACTTGCAAAACCAAGAATGTTGTATACCTTCTTCAGTGTCGATGTGGCATGCAGTACGTTGGCGAGACAGAACAGCTATTCAACAAACGCATGAATGGCCATCGAAGTGACTACACCTGCAAGCCCGACCTCCCCGTAAGTCGTCATTTGAGATTGTCTAGGCACGCCAAAGCTGATCTAAAAAACCTTACCATCACAATCATAGACCACAACGAGGGTTGGTCAAGGGCCGATAGACTCGCTCGAGAAAGGTTTTGGATAAGAAAGCTAAGGATAGTTTCCCCAAAGGGCATAAATGAAAAAAACATAGAATGTGTCACTCATTTTCCCTACTATCACTCATTTTCTTACCATCACCTTTTTCCAGTAACTGAGGCTTCCGTACTGGACTCTTACAGTTTTAAGGAATTTTTTAATTATACCAGTTTAAATTACTGGGTTCTATTCATTTGGGAGGGATGTATAAGTACGCAGTCACGTTCAATTATTTAACCTTAGTCAAAATTTATTATTATTTTTTAATCATTATCAAACTGCTATCTATTTGGGATGTTTAAATACGCAGCCTCTGTTTTAATTACTCTACCGTTGTCAAAATTGAAATATAATACTAGTTTGGATCGGTCAGTGCTGTTTAATATATATATATATATATATATATATATATATATATATATATCGAGCAAAACTGCCGATTAAATTTTGTCTTTAAGCAGTGATCTCTATAAAGATGTAATGCAAAGAAATACTTCAAAAACTATTATAAGAAACTGCACGCAGATATTTCTGTTTTTAATTGTAAAAAATTCAATCCAGTCAGGCACGAAATAACAGGATGTTGTTTTAAATATATGTTTAAATTTGAAATATATAGATCGTTTTCGAGGCGTGAAACACTTTTAACCTCTACTGCATATTGTAATCGAATCACTATAACAGGAAGGGCATTCAACAGTACTCAGAGTTTTAAAAATAAATTCCCAACAATACCCTCTAATGAAAAGGAAGCTCAGATAGCAGGAACATAGCGCGACAAAGATGATCTTTATTCGAAAAAACGTTTTAAACTGTAATTTTGCATACAAATTTAAAAATTATGATAAATGTATGCTATAGTTTATACCAACAATATGTAAATGTGATGGTTATTTAACTTAATAATCCTTTTCGGAGATTTAAACGAAACAGAACTTTTTGTATGCTAGTTGAAGGATGTTATGTAATCACGTGTCTATTAAATGTACTAAGTTTTGGATTACTCATAATAAACAGCGTGTACTGTAGCAACGGCGAAGAGTGATCCATTTCGGTATGATGAGCAAGAAAAGTTATCTGTAGAAGGCGACCAAATACACTGACTTGCCATTTCTACGCCTTGTTCCAGACTCTGTCCAATAATTACATTACAGATTATTCTGTATCGTGGAAACCCCATCTTTTTCACTCTATTCTTAATCAGTACAGAAAGGTCACATGCTAGATTTTTACATCGTTCTTTTTCATATTTTTCATTACAAAGTTCTTTTTCCAAAATACTGCTCACAACATCTTCGACTTTCATGGCTCTGAACTCCTTTCCTTCATCTGGGTCTGTCTTGTAAGTGTTTTCCAGCCTTACTTTAGGTTTTACTTCCTCTGGTGCTGTTGAAATGCTAATCCGTCCTTTAGTAAATCTGCGCATGCTTAACAAACCAGTTGCTATACCCTTAAATGTTGATCTTCTTCTGAGTAAGGATGCGGGATTTGGGCTTTTTTCTTCGTCTGTATTGGCGTCTGATATAATTGACGGCCGTCTCTTCCATGTTCCAAATACTTCCCCGCCATTTTTTTTCTCTTCGGAGAGACCTGCGGGACTTGCAGCATCAACCTTCAAAAGACGAGCGAGATAAGCGAAAATGTATTTTTTAATATCATAGGCGATTCAACACAAAGGGAACGAACTACATATTGATGATTACGGATTCCCACACACCGCATATATGTATACACTTAATACACATATAAAAATACACTTAATTAAGCAATCTAATGCAAGGCTTCTGTTTTCTTGCAATAAATATTGAAGCATGCAGCAATGTTTAGAACTTTAATGAAATTTGTATTTATTCAAATGTTTTCAAACGAACAACTGATTAGATGCGCATTAGAAATCAAATAAAGGGAAATAACCCCTAAATAAGTTGTATCAGTCATGATATTTTTTTATAAAGATGTGAGTAATGAAAATTAAGCCCCTGTTCAATCTTATATTTTGTATTATATACTTCTACAGGTATGATATATATTTACCTTTATGGCAACCGATGTCGACATGGTCTCTGATACTGATGTGTATCTGCTGCCTGGAAGTGAAAAAATAGAAGTGTAATAATCCTAATAAAAGCTTAATTCAGTGAAATACCTCGATATGTGATAGCCTGTTCGTACTGTTGCCTTAATAGAATTAATTTCTGAATTTATCAAGTCGTTTCATGTTGACGAAAAGAGGCGGAAGATACCAAGTCGACATTAAAAACACGTAAGTCGAAGAGAAACTGACAACGTCATTGCAAAACACGAGAAACGATGAAAAGACAAACAAGTCCCTAAACACTTCATAGAAAACTAAAGACTGTGCTACACGAATCCCACATAAAACCGCGGGTTCGTGGTATTGGGTGCTCCGAAAGGGTAAGCAGAATCTGTTCCAGATGTCAGTCGTTCCAAAGGCTTCTCTACACGGACCAGACTCTTTTTACAGGACATTTACACATATTATTTGGACAAATAAAAAAAAATAACTGGTATTTGGTCCACTTATTCATATCACTAAATTGGACCAAAACAATTTGTACTGGCATTTGCAAAATGTCCGGCGACCTTTGGAATGACTAAGTCATGTGGTTTCCGTCATGTTTCTCATGATAAGTGAAGATTCGGTGATGTCACATTATAGTTTGTCTGGACAATAAAGTTGATTGTGTCCGTTTCTTTTTTTAATTTCACCACTTTTTAACAAGAACCCCAAAAGGTAAACCCCGGTCAACTGATATTCTTTATAACGTTCGCTATCCTATTAAGCCAGTATTTTTTTTATATAAACGAGGCGGAAGATACCCAAGGGAGAATCAAAATTCTTAAGACAAACAACAGTCTTCAAAACACTTACATAAAAAACAAAGACTACTTAAGCAACTCGAATCCCGCCAAAAACCGGGGATGATCTTAGGTGCTCCGGATGGGAAAGCAGATCTTCCTGCACATGTGGCACCAGTCGTGTTGCTCATGGTAAGACTATTAATAAATCGTACACATTTCAGTACGAGAAACTGTTTAAGCTGTTAGCCGTAACATGAAACGGGTTAGATTTTTCATCAAATAAAAATTACATCATTTTGGAAACAGATGCCCGTTACTGCGAAGTTTAAAAAAAAACATGTAAAACATGCAGTTTTGTATGAAAATGTCTTCAGAATGTAGCGCTTAATAAAATTTTCATTTTTAAAGAAATGGACATATGTAAAATGGTCGAAAATGTTTTAGTATACGATGTATACTCTTTAATATTCAAACAATGGTAGGTTGTGAATCAAACACACAGGAAATTGGAACTATACCTATTTTTAATTTTGAAAATATAACTGTATCAGCTCATAAATGTTAACTGAATAATCCAGTCGTTATATTCCGACCAGTGCAATCACTATACATTAACTCCAGAGGAGACTGACCGTAAGAGGGCGTGTATTATCCGAGTTAAATGAGTATCAAAAGCAACATTGGTATATTCCTATAAAGGAACATTTTCCAATTACAAACAATTGATTTGAAGTTCTGTCAATAATACAAAGTCTCATTATATAAGTTTCACTTTTAAACAAATTTGTGTAACAAAACACTTAAATAAATGTATACCCTCCAAAGTTATTTTTGGATGAATCAACAATAATATTTTAAATCTACGTAATTCACGAAAAATGTTATTCTAATACTCAGCCTTTCTTTTAAATTAATAAAATAACATTGCGTCTTTTTGTAATATATGAAATTAATGATATTCCAAAATGAATTTGCGAAGTTAGTTCTTCTCAAATATCTTCACAACTAAACTTTGTACCTTCAAGTTTGTGGTATTGTATGATATACATGTGTGTACCTTATATAGATTTGAATAAACAATGGAACTGTTGGACAGTAAATATATTGTCTTTTTGATTAAATAATTTGTCAATGATTTGGAAAATTAAAAGTTGGCAAACTAGGATAAATTCTATGCACGATATATAAGTATATACAGAGGTCAAAAACATTTGAACAAAGAGGAAAACATGCATTGCAAAGCTATTCGAATTCCCTTTATGTTTTGATATATAAAATAAACTCACAAGCGATTTACATCCTTGCCCTTTTTAAGATGCTAGAGATCCTGAACAAAAGTTGATTACTTATATTAATGGACAGCCGAATGTCTGATCATAGATGTATTTATACATCTATGGTCTGATGGTCTGGATGGGCGCCCATCATTTCTGTATTCTTTAACTTTTGGGGCTATTATTCTCTATTCTTTATCATTTTGCCCATTTTTTTCTATTCTATATTTTTTGTCCGTTATTCTCTATTCTGTGAACCCCATCTAGACCCTCATGTCTTGTTTCTTTCAGCGCAAAATTTATTTTTTACTTCAGCGGGAATTTGTCGATATTTTGAACTTGGGATTAATGACCCTGCTAAATAGACTTCGTTTTGCGGAAAATCTTATTCAATCTTTCTTCCATTTGTGAATAAGATTAGTTAGTTAAACAGCTGGACATTCGAACTACAGTCATTCAATCACAAAAGAGGTGTATATAGTATTTGAGCTAAATATATATGAAGGTCGATTAAACCATAAATATTTTAAACGAAAACAACAGTTGACTTAAGATTATTGAATTAGTCTTTAAGATGTCTTGATATAGAACAGACTTTTACTTAATATGACGGTCTCTAATAAATAGTATGCACTTATATTTTCTGGCAATGAGGACTTAAGCAAGTTTATTGTCCCCGAGTTCTAGTAACCAAATGTTTCCCGACGCGAAACGGAGATAAAGAGTTGTGTGTCGAGGGTAATAATAAACTTGATATTGTCCCAATAGCCAGGAAATAAGTGTTTTATTATACATAAAAGCAAAAAAGTACGGGAAAATGTTAACTTTGCTTCCAGTATTTTTCGTTAAAAGACTATTAACCGGTAGTTTTCTTTACGGGAAAATGTTTGCTTCCAGTAAATAGTTCATATCCAGTAAATAGTTTTTTGAAACTATTTACCGGTAAATAGTCTTTTTTAGACAATTTCGTAAAAATAGTAAATTTATTCGCAGATATTTTTTTAAATAAAATACACACCGAGGTGTAATAATACTAAATGATCGGCCCGCGTGTTTAAAAACAAGGCTATTTAATTCAAGGCTACGGGTTTCGCATTTGAGGAATAGTTATACTATTTTAAAATGAACATCAACATGAGTGTACAAGATATGTGAATATACATCATAGTATACTCTGTCATTTTTTATCGGGTGTTCTGCAAGTAATATCCCTCCTCCATATAGAAAAGAGAATGGAAACGGGCAAAGTGTCAAAGAGACAACAACCCGACCAAAGAGCAGAAAACAGCCCTAGGCTACCAAGGGTTTTCAACGCAACGAGAAAATCCCTCATCCGCAGGCGGACTTCAATTTGTCCCTAAACAACGATGTATTCTAGTACAGCGAAATGAACACCACACTTAACTCCGAAACATACAAATGAACAAAAAAATCACAATACTTACAAAGGCTAGAGGTTCCTGACTTGGGACAGGCGCAAAAATGCATGTTTTGTGATGAATACATACAAAAGGAGAGGTTAATCGTCAATGAGACAGCAATCCAATGACACATATAACCAAAATACATTCAGATGTCAATACACAGTCTTCAACAACAGATGGGTGCCTATGTACATGTAATTGGCTCAACAACCATTGCCAAATAATACATAATGGCAGGACGAGAACACATTGACAATACATTTGAAAGACAGGTTAGGGAAAGGGGTCGACCAGAAATGATATTTGGTCTGCCAGTGGGAAGTAAGAGTATTTACATATAAGATTATCCCAATATCCCAGAAATAGAAGGAAATATCTGAAGGTTTTAACTGACTTTTTATATTATCCAATAATTAAGTAAAATGCATACTCCTTCTGAATGTCGAGTATATCCCCGGTTTTGTGCTATAAAAGTTGACCACGGCTTTGTCGTGTTGTTGACAGCCGTCCAATAACCTTGATATTTGACTTCTTAATTGTCGAATACCCATACCGTATGGTGAGCTATAAACGGCTGCAGCATACCAAAATGTGAAACAATTCAAAAGCGAAAACCAACGTTCTGATTTATACCAGAACAATACACGACACACAATTATGGAATATAATTACCAACGCAACCACTGGATTACATGCTCCTGTGGTTCTTTTCGCAAAAATTATTTTTATTGAAATAAATCACAAGTTACACTGAAATTATTATGTTGGTTGTTTTTTGGTAATAAAAGTTGCTGGCTTAAGACAGGCACATAAGAAAAATATCGATATTTGACATGTGTGTAAGCGCTCAAACCTTGCTTTAACTTGGGACGGTGGTGTAACAACACAACATAAGAAAACTAAAATTCAGTGTGAAAGGTGTTGACTTATCATGTCGGTATTATGTACAAAATAACAAAAAGACAGAAGACACAAAGTACCGGTCTTATAGTACTTGCAGTTACTGAAAGCTAGTTCAAAGCCCGATTTCAACTTTTAGATAAACCATGTTCTTAGAGACTAAAATATATATCAGTACTTCTCGGATTGTGTGTATTCAATTATGGGCAGACTGAGATATGTAGACAGGACCTTGTGCAATGCTTATTATAATTATGCCAAAGTATAAGTATCGACAGGATGTAGGAATTTATATTTGCATTCCGTTTTATCGACGGACCATGTTGATGAGTTGCTGCTAGTGGTCTATTACTGCTAGATCATCATCTAATGTCGGTCAGACCGTAAGCCAAACCTTTTTTAACAAATCACAGAGAAAAAAGACATCCAAAAAACGAACATGAATTTACCTCATGTCAAAAAAAGTATTTTAATTTTTTAAGGAATGAAAATGCTGAAAAATTTCAGTATAAATAATGTAAGCGTTATAAAAGAAAAACCGGCGGGATGCGTTTTTGTCTTGTTTTTTTATTTTTATTATCATTATTATTTTTCTTACTGTAAATTGTGTAATTGAAATATCGATGGGCAATTTTTTGTTTTTGTTTTTTCTGTTTTTGTTTTTGTTTTTGTTGTTTGTTCGTATTTGTTGTGTTTTTTTTTTGGTTGCTTTTGTTTTTAAAGGGGGGCTTTATTGTTATCATCATCATCATCGTCATAACTACTCATATTCTATTTATTTATGTTTGTCCCTCACACTTGCAATATAACAATTAAACGTTATTTTGATTTATTTTTCATTTTGAGTTTGTCCCCTCCTCCCCACTTTTCAGTTTACTCCTACGCCACTAAAAGCCACCAGTCTTGCGTTATGACATTAAAATTAACGTAGTCGTACTATAGTAGTATAGTAGCAGTAGTACTAGTATATGTAATACGTACAGTGCAGTAATATAATTGTTATTGTTTTGACAAATTATTGAAGTCAAAATTAGTAGATATTGAGTACAGCTGGGGGGAAATCAGAAAGATAGCTAAAAAGTCCTACCTTGTGGGTTTAATCGTCACCAATTAATACATTTCTACGGAGTGAAATATCAAGACTTACGTTACGTGGTTTTTAATTATTCATCCCATTTAAAAGAGGGATTTTAATGTATTAAAAAGTCTACAGAGGATTTGGTTTAATCCAGGTGTTTCAATACTACATGTTTAAACCACTCAATAGTAAATTGTTATATTATACAATATTATGAGGTGTGAAATTGTGATATTAGAACGGCCAAACCAGCTAAATAATTATTTAAATATTATACAACGTATCGCTTTGCATCTAAACTCTGGCTTGGCATGTATTTTATTACATTGTTTTTTTCAAATTTATTGATGTTAATATTAAGACGATATTGTTTTCGCCTAGTCATGTTTAAGCAGTTGAAAATAAAATTAAAATTCAGAAATAGCAGATAAAGAATATTTTGCGAAAATCAAATTCAGTTGCGCATAAATAATCCCTGCTTTGTACTAGAACACGTGGAGTCAGATTGTTTTACGTGCAAGCTCGCAAGGTAGCAACTTTAACTCATTAAGCGATTTTTTTTTTTTAAATTGTCACAGATTATTCATTTTATTTTTATAATTATGATAAGCATTTTTTTTGTGCATATTTTAGATTACAAAGTTAAGGAGATCTCTCATGGCGCCATTTATCGTTAATCGCCTTAATCTTAACATCTCTCTGTTCATTTGAAATCTCTTTATTCTTTAATTAAAAGGCATAAATTTGTATTAAAATTATAAAACTACCTACCTTTTCGAAAAAGATTTTACTAGGAACGTAAAAATATATAAATAAATGTATCTCTGTTATATTTTTTAACCTTGGGGAAGATTATAGTATTAACATGTTTATGAATAGCGTATATCTTAATCTGTTTATTTCTTCTTGTTATGCCCATGTTATCCTTACAAATTACGAAACCCAAAGATTAATTATTTTATAATTTTTTAACAGAAAAGTTCAAAGAACTTGCAAGTTAGCCCTTACATACAACTTGTTTATAATTTTTTTTTAAAACCCAATTATTGTATTAATCTTTTTTTCATTGTAGCTTCAACGCTTGGCGGCAAATATTTCATGCATATATTCTTTCCTCAATATAAAAAAAATGTACCCATAATATTTGTAAATGACAGACTAATTATCTGATATACGGTTTGTTGTTAATACAATAGACGATTTTCATATTCGGGAACAGTAATTGTTTACCAACTTGGAGGGTTGGGGAATTTTAGGAGGGGGTGATTTTTTTTCATACTTAAACTGGAGGGGGGGTAAAAAAAATTAGAGCACACTGGGGGGTTGAAAAACCAGATCAGAATTATTGACGACAGCAAAATGTAAGCATCGCATTTTCTGTTTCAGTGATTGTGTAATGTTGAGATGATTACTATGATCTTGCTAATTAAATAAATGCCTTCAAATCATCTATGAGCAAATAGACAATGTAAACTGCTTAATCTCTGGTCATCACAGCTTGACCTCTTTGCTTATCATATTACATTCTTCATGTATGTAAAAAAACTGTGGCCAAGGATTTGTTTAGTAAGACCACGGAAGTACTATATATTGACAATATAATATTTCCATGGTCAGACTATATATATACAAATCCTTGCTGTGGTTAGAGGACAATTTACAAGTCTGTTTGATGTTAATAATAGTTTTATTGCTTTGAGATTTCATAAATATTTCATAATATGAAAGGATGGATAAAGTGAAGAACATTTTGCATCAATTACAAAGATTGCTAGATAAATACAAGAACATGTTCGGATCTAAGAGTAGAGTTTGCAGGACTTAAGTTGGAACAGCATGAACTTTTTTTCGTAAACTGTTTTGTAATAAAGTAAGCCATTAATTTCCTCGATTGAATTGGTTCGTGTTGCTCAGTCTTTGTAGTTTTCTGTGTTATGTTTTATGTACTGTAACAGTTGTTTGTCTGTTGGTCTTTTTCTTTTATTTTTTGTCATGGCGTTGTCAGTTTATTTTCGACTTTTGAGTTTGAAAGTCCCTTTGGTATCTTTCGCCTCTCTCTTTCATATTTCTCGTGTCAGGGCCTTTTATAACAAACCTTACGGTATGGGGTTTTCTCATTGTTGAAGGCCGTACCGTTGCCTATAATTGCTTACATCCACTTCTAGATGTCTCATTGGCAATCATACCACATCTCCTCATTTTTATATAAAGTACCGATTAGGGAGCCAGTGTGGAAGTGAAGAGCAAATGGAGAGTGAAAGCTGTGAAAGAGAGAATGATGTAATAGTCAAGAGTGGTGAGGACTGATTAAAGGTTACATTGAAAAAAAAATTGAAATTGACAAACAGTGCATGGTTTGCTTTTATATTGTATTACATGTATAAATGTCACTTATTTTAAATATAAAATAAATGTCATTTGTATATATGTTTTCCTACGTTAAGGAATGGGGAGTCAAATTTTTCAAATCGTTTTTTTGGGGGGTTGATTTTTTGGATTTTATCAACCTGGGGTGGGTAATTTTTCATCACGGTTTGAACTAAAAATAATTTACTTCCAATCAGCATTTCTCGGTCGATAGATTATGATGAAAGTTACTGTTTCTTTTCGGAAATGGTCTTTTTGTTCAAATAAAAGCCTTTATGATATGGGTCGTACCTGGGACTATTCCTTGGTCGTACTGAATGTGCATGAAATATTCGACACTGGACGTAAAAAGAATCTGAACAATCAATTATTCATTGAAGGGTAAACCAATGACAGAACATATTCGGCTCATGTGTGCTTCGGTTCAATCTTGTCTTCACTCGAAAATTTTCTGTACACATGCACTAATAGTGCATTGACTTGACATTACAATATAGGTTCCTTGTTTTAATCCTCACCATTTTACCGTATTAATACAAAGCCAATACAATATTGTTAATGTAAATTGCAGTCGAAGCTTTATTTTGTTTTCTAAAAGATCATGTGAGCTTATTTCAAGTATAATTTTGCTAATCATCTCGAACACCTATATTGGTATAAACGGAGAACAGTAAAAATGATCATCAATAATTTTTTTTAGAAAAATGCCACTAAATAATATTAACAAATAAGTAAACTTGTTTATAAGTCTAGGGATTCGGACTCTAGGGAGCCTCTTGTTTTGTTTTTTGTTTTTTTGCATTTTAAGCTTACCTGGCAAGTAGCCAAAGTCGACACCACTTTGCGTCCGTCGTCCACAGGTTTTAGACTGGTTTATATATACTTTTTTCGTTTGTCTGTGTGGTAATAATGATATTCACAAGGTTGTTGGGGTTATAAAATTCACGATGTTGCTTAAAAAATATCGGCACCCATCCTTTTTGATATCGGAATAAGCATCCTGAATCACCTTATTTTACCACAATCTAATTAAAATATAGATCTCTGATTTTATAATGCTCATATGGATAAGCGAGTTACGATATATCTGAATTTTAATATAGATATTAATATTAATATTGTTTTTTTCTGTTTTTCTCTCGAACATCCAAATTGTATATAACCGCCTCGGTGGTGTCGTGGTAGCGTGTTCGCCTCAAGTGCGGGAGGTCGTGGGTTCGAACACCGGCAGCGTCAAACCAAAGACTTTTAAATTGGTATTTGATGCTTCTCCGCTAAGCACGTGGCATTAAGGAGTAAGAGCAAAGACTGGTCGGCTCGGAGTCAGAATAATGTGTCCGGGTAAGGTGACATGTCTTCCTGCGGACTGTTACCTTGTGAACTGGTATGTTGAAAATCCGGCTCAGCGTGTCGATCTAGTACAAAGCAGGGTTAATACTCATATTACATTAACATGTTCTCGTCCTAAATATGAATATTAATTTGCCGCTGGACATTAAGCAGCCATCATCATCATCATCCAAACTGTATACATAGGTGAAACTTATTTTAATAATCAAATTTTAAGAAATGAAATTATGTTTTTTTTTTTTTTTTTAACTTAAATTGACTTACCTACCACCTCCTGGTAATAGTTATGATGTTATTTACGTATTAATACAGATATTAGTAGTTTAATCTAATGATTATTGCACGGTTGATAATCAGGATATAGTATGGGGAATTAATAAACATTTAAAAAATAATATTTTCTTTAGTGTCATTTCTTTACAGTACAGGTTTCAAATTTTCTCGTCAATAAACATATAGGAATGCATTAAAGTTGAAGGAAATTAATTTGAAAGTCAGTCAACTAATTCGTAAAAATGCATACTTCTTTTCATATACATAACTTCGTATATCTATATTTGAAAAGATGATATAATTGAACAACACGCATTTTGTATAAATTTAAAAACCCCAAAATAAACCACCACAGTACCTGTTTCATTACGTTGCAAAGACTGCACCATTCAAATAATTCTAGATGTCTTGCTATACATTAAGGCTTTTCAAATTCAAACGGAAATTGAAAATGGTGTTAATAGTTGATTTGCAGAAAAGATTTATTACTCGTTCTATACTTTAATGTATAAGAGAGTCTGAATGGGGTTTTCAGAATAGAGAATATTGGGCAAAAAGTGCAGAATAAAGCCGAGCAATGAATAGTGAATAATGGACAAAAAAATGTAAAGAATAGAGAATAATGGGCAAAAAATGTAAAAAATAGAGAATAATGGGCAAAAAATGTAAAAAATAGAGAATAATGGGCAAAAAATGTAAAGAATAGATAATAATGGGTATAAAAAAATAAGAATGCAGAAATGAAGGACACCCATCCAGAAACTCATATGTAATACGTACTGTTGTAATCCTTTTGCAATTGCATTTTCATCAGTCGTTGATATGATATTGCAGCTAACCTTACAATTCCTTGTAGTACTATCAGTCATGTCACATAAAATTACTGTAAGATGCAATGGGAAATAACTCTTGATCTTGCCTCGTTTGGTGAATAATTGAGATAAACAAAGAAAGGGTGACACTTATTTTATCGACTACAGTATATGTAGGAAAAAATATTTACTTTCTATATTTTAAACAAGTTTGTATGCCCCCGTCGTAGGCAATGTGGGCATTAAGTGTTACCCTTGTCCGTCCTTTCGTCCGTCCCTTTTT